GACAACTGTGCTCTGGCCACTGATTGGCTCAGGTGGTGGCTTTCTCTTGTTTGCCTCAGGACCCTCCCAGGGTAACTTTTGTGGCCTGATGGCCAAACCTGGACATTAGCTGTTTCACATTCTGCCTCTGTTCATCTCCACCTCTCTTCTGTGTGTCATGTATGACATCAGGAAAGAGCAGCACTGGTGCTGACTGGGTCTGAGTTTCCTGATTCAGGCTAACTGAGTTCCTGTGATCTAAGTGCACCAATGAGGTGAAGGATGTCACACACTGTGTGATGTAAATATCCTGGTCTGTCAGCTGCTCCTGGGAGATGACCTGGATGCTCTGGTAACTGTCTGCCTGCTTACACTGTTTGAATCTTTCTCCTCCGTCCATGCCACCTAGCCATGTGAACAATAGTGTCCTGTCATGATGAGTGTGACTTCTTGGTGACTGGGGTCTTGATATTCATGTCAGCTGCTCAGGTGTGCCATGTCTACAGGAGAAAGCTTGAACTCAGTCCCTGGTCACCAGCATTCAGGGGTGCTCCCAGTTCACAATTCTCTGTACACATGTCAACAGATAATTGATCACTGTCCTTTGGACTCCACTGGAAGAGGACAAATAGGAAGGACCTGGGCATGTCTCTCCTGGACTCTGTTCTGTGTGTCATTTCCCTTTGCTGGCTTCAACTGTCTGGGTTCATTGAAGTGAGACCACAGTTAGTCTAAGGTCATTCCTGGGTCCCTGATTGCTTTCCCTAGGCTTGGTGTGATAGGCAAGCCCAGTTGGCTTGGGAAGAATGAAGTGACTCCCTGGGGTGACTGTGTCTCTGAGGGTGCCTCCTCAGGAACACTTAGTTTGGGCAAAGGAAGGCCAAGAGACTCTTTATGGTTGGTGAAGCTCATGGTAGAGGCCACAGCCCGAGTGTTGCCCATTGTGTTCCCTATGGGATCCTAAACCACAGAACTAATACTTGAGATGCTTCCCGCTTGGTATGTGAAGAAATGCAGCCCAGTGTGGTGTCACAGGCCTTTAGTTCCAGCATTAGAGAGGCAGAGGCAGGTGGATCTGGGAGTTCAAGGCCAGCCTGGTTTACAAAGCAAGTTCCAGGAAACTAGGACTGTTACAAAACAAAGTAAAACAAAACAAAAAACCCAGACAAACAACAACACCATCATAAAAAAAGGGAAAAAGAAAAGAAAAAAGGAAGGAAGATAAGAGAAATATATCTAGAATTTAAATATTTTTATTTAAATGATAAAATGAGAAGACAGTCAAAAGACAAACTGAATGAAAGGGAATCAAAGTATAACGGAAGTGTATCAGCCAGGTCCCAGCCGGAACCTGACTCTAAAGAGATAAGATCAGACCTTAGAACGTAGTGCCATGATCCCAACGTCCACAACCACTGAGGCAGCTGTGCATTGCTTTAAAACTGCTCCTGATAGTTGAGGAGAACATTTTGAGACATTGTGTACACCTAGGCTGAAGCACTGAGAGACCCCCAAACAAAGCATTCCAGGGGTTTTGATATTGTGACTTCCTGTTTTGTAGAAGAGAAGGATTCATGGATTGCTGCACCACATAAGTCTTCCAGGAATGTCTGGACGTGTGCTGGAGCACACCAGGCCGAAGGACATGTAGTAGACAGGAATGTCTGGACGTGTGCTGGACCACACCAGGCCGAAGGACATGTAGTAGAACCAGTGACAGCTGTTTCTGCAGAGGATTCTGAAGAACCTGCTGTCCACTTCACAGAAAAGAAAATGTTTGTGGGTAGTGTTGGAAAAGATACAAGAGCAATAGGGTTTGGCCAGATGGAGACCCTAGAGGTTGTAGAAGACTGAGTGGAAGGTAGAAAGTCAGGGCAGGAACCAGGAGGCAGAACTAAGGCAGGGACCATGGAGGAGTGCTGCTTACAGGCTCCTCAGCCTGGATCTCAGGGCCTCATTGAACAGCTTAACTGCCCTACCACCTGTATCCTACCCTGTCTTTCTCTGCTCACTGTCCCCCAGGTCTGGCTCTGAACCCCTCTCTGCCCCACACAGCCTCTTGCCTTTAGCATTTAGACCAACACTCAAGTGTTCAAAGATGGGTATTGGGGGGCGGTCAGCAGTGTCCTCTCCACAGTTCACCAGCACTTCCCGAACCGCCTTCAGTCCATTGATCACAACCACAGGCCTCCTGGCCATCTGCAGGCTGAACACGTCACCATAGCGTTGTCGAAGCTGAAGGAGAGGGACAGAGCACTTAGGAAGTGAGGTGCCCACAGATCCTCGAACCAGGTTAATGCATAAGTATTGACAGAGTTCCACGTGTGTGTGTGTGTGTGTGTGTGTGTGTGTGTGTGTGTGTGTGTGTGTGTGTGTGTTTGCATATTTGAATGTGTGTGTTGTTTATTTTGATCCTTAGTCTTCATATTTGCTGGGAAAAAGCTCTTTCACTGATCTCCATGTCCTGTTTCAGACCTGGCACCCTCTGGCTGTGGCATCCCATCCTTTAAGTTCAGCAAAGGACTCATGGTAGATATGACCACCTGCTGTGATCTTCCCAGAGCCTGGACACTGTTCTGGGGAACCTCAGCATCTCACGACACATGAAGAAACTGCTTCCTTGAGATGGGCAGTGAGGCCAGAGACCACACAGCAGCAAGAGATTCGAGCAGCCCCAGCCCCTCTCTCTCTCCACTCGGTCTCTGCCAGACACGCTGCACTAGACCTGAGATCATGCCCTTCACTCAGCCCTCCTCTGTGACAGGATCCTAAGGACTTGGGGCCTTCATGATTGCTGCCCTGGCCAAACAGATATGAACCTTGCTGTCACAACCTGCCTACCTCCTGGATATACCCAACCCCCAAACCCTTTTGCCCTAGAAATTAGAGTGTCCTCAGACCTGGCAGTGTCTGTAACCAGGGAACTGTTAATCTTGTTTGATCCATCCACCACGAACTCCCTCACCTTGTAGAAGCTGTATGGCATGTACCTGAAGTCCACCTGCAGCAGATAGCTCGGCACGGGCAGGGGCACAGGGCCAGGTGGGTATCTAGAGTCCAGTGCTGGCACCGGGGCATGAAATCCACCAGTAACATGAAAATGACTTTGACTATGGAAACAGACCCAGGGCATGCACAGTCAGCAGCTCCATGGCGGCCCCACTGCTGTCCAGGCTACCAGGAAAACAATGTCCAACACTCACAACAGCCTCCTGGGATCAGGAAGTCCCACAGCTTGGAACCTGCCACCTTATAAGGGACAGCCTATGGTGCTCTTTTGTCCTTTGTCACAAGTTTCTGGGATTTGTTTGGCCAAGTGCAGTCAGTGAGGGGCCAGAGACCTTCGGTCCATCCTGAGAGCTGAACATCGAGGTTCTGCTGGGCTGAGCATGATGGGCAGATGTCCAATGGAACACCTGCTTTGAGGTGCATAGTCATTACCGTAGAAAAACGATCAGGTTTGCCACCCATGTGCGGCTTCGGGGGCTTTAGGACATTGGTTTGGGAAGGAATAAGACCTCACCAAAGCTTCGGGGAACATTTTGTTGGCCAGAGAGGATGGCCTGACCGTCAGTACCAATCAGTGGCTTTCTCTAGCTCCAACATGGCCTGAATGGAGCCCTGAATGGGAGTCAGCACAGCAGCATTTGTCACAGTCAGGAGTGGGGGACAGAGACAACTGTGCCCTGCTCACTGATTGGCTCAGGCTGGTGGCTTCCTCCTGGTTTGCCCCAGGACCCTCCCAGGGTAACTTCTGAGACCTGAAGGCTAAACCTGGATATTAATTGTCTTACATGTGTGTCTCTTCAACTCTCCTCCTCTCTTCTGTGTGTCATGTATGATATCATGAAAGAGTAGCATTGGTGCTGACTAGGTACAGGTGTGCAGTGTGACATGGACTGACTCAGGCCTGATTTTCCTGCATCAGGGATAAATGAGCCCCCGTGATCTAAGTGCACCAAACAGGTGAGGTATGTCACACACTGTGTGTTGTAAAGTCCCTGGTGTGTCACCAGCTCTTGGGAGATGACCTGGATGCTCTGGTGAACACCTGCCTGTTATCCTTGTTTGCCTCCTTTCATCCTCCATCTGAGTCTCCTCAGTCATGTGAACAAATGCATCCTGTCAGGATAAGGGGAACTTCCGGAGCCGCTGGGGTCTTGGTATTCATGTCAGCTGCACAGGTGTGCCATGTCTACCAGACCAAGCTGGAACTGATCCTGGGTCATCAGGGTTCAGGGGTGCTCCCAGACAATTCTCTGCACACATGTCAACAGATCCTTGATCACTGTCCTTTAGATTCCCCTGGAGGAGGACAAATGTATCCTGTCCTGTCCTGTCACCTGACACATGTGGCAGACAGCTGGGGGTGTGCCCTACTCCCTGAGCTCTGCTGTCCCTTTCCCTGCTGCTGCTTTTCTTCCCTGTCCTCTCTGCAGTCACCTCTGTGGGGACAGCAGCCTTCCCAGCTCTGGGAACTTTTCCAGGCACTCATGCACCTCAGAGTCTCACGGATCTCCTGCGTCTCTGTCACCAGACAAGAGCAGTGTGGGTCCTGTCAGGCTCATGACACCTGTCCCTGAGACCCATGGAGTCCTGCCCCCTGCCTGCAGTTTGTCACCACCTCAGTCACTGCTGCTGTGTCTTTCTGGTGACAAGGGTCAGCGGACACTCTGGGCACCAGCACTCTCCTTCCTTCCTCTCTTTCCTCCCATCCTGCTTTCAGGCTTTCCCTTCTTCCCATTCAGTTTCCTCTTTTCTCCCTCCCTGGTTCTGTGTTCATGAGACCGTGATCCTCAGTATGGAATCTTGCAGTCCTGAACCTTGCTTTATAGCCCAGGCTAGCCCCAAACTTGCCATTCTCTGTGTCAGGGTCCCAGGTGCTGAATCTGCAGGCTGTGCCTTTCCACTAGGGTGAGCTCAACCCTTTCTCCTAGCATTCAAGGTGTCCATTAGGAAGGCTCAGGTGCTGGGTGAGGGGTGATGGTGGACAGTTCTCTGAGGACCAGATGCAGACAGGGTGAGAGTTTAAATGAGAAAGGAAGTGGTACCCACAGCCCTGGTTTATTGTGGGAAGATCAGAGTGAGCTAGGGGTGGGACTAGAATCAGTGTCCTGCTAGCGAGTGACTGCACAAAGCTCATAGGGGGAGGGGGATGACAGCAACATAAAGACCCCATGGTCGCTGGGCCGGGGCTGTCCATCAGGCACCGAGAACCTGAAGTGCTGCAGGAGGCAGGTGAAGAAGAGGAAGAGCTCCATGCGGGCCAGAGGCTCCCCCAGGCATGCTCTGCGGCCTGTGGGTGGGAGAGGGGCTCAGTCAGTCTGGGGCCTGATGGATGCTCCACCCTCCAAGGCCCCCTGGGAAGAGACAGGGAGCCAGGCACCCCCCAGGACCTGCTGAGAATGGCATGAAAGCCTCATGCTTCACAAAGTGGCCCTGGGCATCCAGGAAGTGTTCAGGATGGAACTGGAGGGGCTTCTCCCAGACAGTCTCATCCTTCAGCACGGAGGACAGGTTGGGGATGAGGGTCGTTCCCTGGTAAGAGGTACATTGTGTAAATATGGACTGGGACACAGTTAACACAACTCTGGAGACCAAGGTCACATGCACAACCTCTTCCTGCACACACTGGACTTGTTTCCCAGAGCATCTTAGCCCCTTCACTACTGATAGAAGGTGTCCCAAACCAAGACCTGTCCCTGTGTGCAGTGCTTCCTAAAATCCCCTGTGGATTATTCAGTTGGACATCCCACTTCCCTGGAGAATCCTCCTCAATGGCTGTCTTGTGCTCACACCCAGGTTGGTCCCATCACCATGTGGAAATCCAGGATGTGGTGGTCTTGGTCTTTCCTGCCCTTGTTTGTTTGTGGCCATGGTACGGTACAAGGGCCATGCATACCTTGGGGATGAGGAAGCCCTGTACTTCAATGTCACGAGAGGTCATGTGTGGCAAATTTATTGGGACAATGTCTGCAAATCGCTGGACCTCATGAATGACAGCATTGGTGTAGGGCATGGAGGCCTGGTCTGCCATCTCTGGACTCCGCCCCTGTCCTATGACTTCATCGATCTCCTGGTGGACTCGGCCTGCAGAAACAGCACCCCCTAGCCCAGTTAAGGTTTCCCAGGAAGATATCCCTTAACTCTCTACTACTTCTGTGCTAAGGTCTGGGTCCATGGAGAAAGATGACCATTACCCTTGCCTGCGTCTGGGTCAAGTCAGTGCTGGGAACCTCAAGTGTCCCAAGAAAGCTTAAGGAGTGTGCCTCTCCCCTCCTTCTTCTTTTTTCCCAGCCCCAGCAAGACTCACGCTGTACATCTGGGTGCAGGATCATGAGCAGCAGGGCCCAGGCCAGTGTGATGGAAGAGGTCACCATCCCAGCACCAAACAGGTCAGAGACGACCAAACGTAGATTGGCATCATTGAAGCTGCTCTCGGGGTTCCCCTTGGCCTGGGACCGACAGAGATGGTGGACTCAGTGTAGAGAGGGAAAAGCCCCACAATATCTTCCCATTATCTCTAGGAGGCCACACTTGGGGTCACTGGGTTATTCACAGGTTCACCCTCTTGTCCCTCACCTTGCACCGGACACCACATCTCATATTCTCTCACCTTCTCCACCTCTGCCAGGAAGGCATCAGTCAGGTCTCGGGGTGGCTGGGCAGGGTCCCGGGTCTTCCTATGCTCATTCACCAAGTTATCCACCATGGCCATGAAGGTCTTTTGCCCAGGGAAGACTTTGTCAACCAGCCCCGGGATGCGCAAGAGAATTGGGAACGTGTTCAGAATCTGTGACCGCCAAGGAAAGCTGCTTTTTAATCTAATGTGTTAATAACAAGGATGTCTAATATAGTTATCATTATTTCAACGTTTGGTTGTATATGCATGATGTGAGGAATCCTGTTGCCATGACAATGATGTTGAGGTCAGGGGAACACCTCCAGTCAGTTCTCCCCTTACTCTGTGGCTTCCAGGATTCGAACTCAAGTACTATGCTTGTTTGCTGAGCTCCTTTACCCACTGACCATCTCTTGACGTGGACACTTCTGATCAATGTTGATCTCACCCAGTCCCAGATTCCAGCCTCTTCCACAATGGACACAGGGTCTGTTTGTCCCCACCCATCATCTGCCTCCTCCTCTGTTCCAGCCTTTAGGCTCTTGCAGCCCAGGATGAACAGAACGAATAGTTTACCCTGGACACCACAGGTTTGGGTGGTTTCCATGTAGACAGAGGACAGAGGTTCTCTCCCTTTCTAGAAACTCTGACCTTGTCCATTCCCCCCATTCCTCCTTGTCAGAGGTTTGTCAAGGTCCAGGCCTTTCCTCCTGCAGTGGACTCCCAGAAGGCCTCTCCCATGGCCTTGGCACACAGCTTCCTCAGGGAGGAACAACATAGATGTGGCTCTGTGGGCTGTCCTGATGCTCCTACCTCAGGAAACAAGCCAGTGTTCTCTCCCATGTTTTCTTCCAAAATTTTTAGCAGCTCGGTGAACTGAGGATCTCCATACTCAAAGCGCCGGGCATAAATGAGGGACGTGATGACATTGCACACAGCTTTGTTCAGGAGGTGGCTGGGATTGAGCGGCTGTCCTGGGAGTGGAGAAGCAAGTGAGTCACTGTACAGCTCATGTCTTGTGTGCCCATCTGCATCCCTCACCCATCACCCACCAGCTTTTTCAGCGAGGGCATCACAGAGGTAGCCAGCCTCATCTGTCACCCACTGCTCCAGGGATTTCTTGCCCAGGCCAAAGTTGCGCATGGTGGACACAGAGAATCTTCGCTGCTCTCGCCACTCGGGCCCATAAGGTGCAAAGGCCACACCTGTAGACACATGTTTGTGTAACCAAGATGCCTGGCTGTGCTGTCCTCTGCCCCTCTGGGATCAGTATCACCCATAACCTCTCACCTTCACCCCCAAACCATCCCCACCCACTCCAGCATGTAAAGTTGACTCTGTGGTGGATTCAGAGGCCTTTGAACTGCTCCACTGCATTACCCCCTGTGTCATGTACTTCCTCTGCTCAATGACCCCCAGGTCTAGCTCTGATCCCGTCTCTGCCCCCACCCAGCACTTTGCCTTTAGCTTTGTGCCCAAAGCCCATGTGTTGAAAGATGGGCATTGGGGGTCGGTCAGAGGTGTCCTCTCCACAGTTCACCAACACTTCCCGAACCACCTTCAGTCCATTGATCACAACCATTGGCCTCCAGGCCATCTGCAGGCTGAACACGTCACCATAGCGTTGTCGAAGCTGAGGAGAGGGCCATAGCACTTAGGAAGTGGAGGTCTCAGAAGATCCAGAACCAGGCTCACTGCACAAACTCTCTCTCTCTCTCTCTCTCTCTCTCTCTCTCTCTCTCTCTCTCTCT